AGAAATTGTATACATTGCACCAACTCAATTTTGGGAGAAATTTAGTGCAGCATTAAGTACGCACGATTCATGGGAATGTAATGTGACAAATATTAAATTACAGAAAAAGGATATGGGTGGGCAAGCAGTTGTATTTCACTTTGTTTGCGAAAAGTGTTCTTGGACAGCAAATGTGGACGCAATTCCTGTTGATGAAAAAACTGTTCCACTTCACGAATGTCTAGTACTTGGTAGTATATATACAGGTATAGGTTATACACAATTAGTTAAATTACAAGCTGCCATTGGAATTAAGTCAATGAGTAATAAAAAGTATGTTAAAACTGTGGAAGAGGTTTGTTTGGAATTAAGAAAACAACTTGAAAGTGAAATAATAGAAAGTGGCAAAGCTGAATTGCGACTAGCACAAGAAGCCGGAAAAGTAACACCCGAAGGTTATGGCATTGTTTCAGTAGTAGCAGACGGCAGTTGGATGAAGAGGTCGCTAAAAAATTCCAATTACAATTCTCCAGCTGGCGTTGGTGTAATTATTGGAAAAAGAACAGGAAGAATATTGTGGATTGAAGTAAATGATCGTTATTGTTCTATATGCGACAGAGCAGAAAGAAGAAATCATTTACCTCGTCGACACAATTGTTTTAAAAATTGGAGTCGTAAACAAAGCTCAACGTCTATGGAAACTGAAGCTATTGCTGAAGGTTTTCAAAATAGTGTTTTACAACACAAGCTAATATATGGAACACTTATTGGAGACGGTGATAGCAGCGTGCATGCAAGAATTCAAGAAATAGATCCCTATGGGCAGTATGGAATAAGTGTAAAAAAAATAGAATGTGCTAAACATTTACGCCGTTGTCTTTCGAATGCAGTAACAAAAATTTCAAAGAAAAAAGGATACATTGGAGTATGGCGAGTTATTGTAGAAGATAGTGGCAGAAAAATCATTCAAGAATTGAATAAATTAATTAATTATTACGAAAAGAACAGTAAAGATAAATCAATGAAAGATAGAATTACAGAATTAAGAAAGAGTATCAAATGTCTTACTAGACATGTATTTGGCGACCACAGTAGATGTTCTGATCATCCTTTATGTAAGGGTCCAAAGGGAGACGAAGAAAATATAGTTGACATTTTAGAAAAATGGCATTTTGTTGCTGACATAGAAAAAGCCATTGAACGTTTAATCCTTCATGCTGAAAGTTTAATATATAATTTTGATACGAATCTCGTCGAGTCATTAAATGCAATAATTGCTGAAAAAATAGGAGGAAAACGAATAAACTTTGCCTATCGATGTTCGTATCATGCACGTGTATTCGCTGCATGCCTACAATTTATGTGTCGAAACGTATTGACAAATTACTTCAATGGAATTAATAAAGAAATTTCTGATACAGCATTAAAAGTTGAAGAAAAAAGTTTTAATGAACATTGCAAACGCAAAGAACGTAACAACAAAACTGCAAAGAAGAAGAGAAAAGTTTGGAATAAGACAAAAGGTTGCGAGGATAAAGATTATGGACCTAATTGCAAAAAGCAGGATATGGATGAAGAATTGTACAATATGAAACTAATTGAACACAAAAGGAAATTAGAAGAAATGGTAAGAGATAGAGAACAAATTTTGAAAGAAACTTCAGATCAAGATATTGATGGTAAATGGGGATATTATAAAAGACGTTTAGTTACGTCAACATTCTTTTATAGGATTTGTCATATGAGGCCTTATACCTCATGCAACAGTGTTGTTAAAGCGATTAGAAATCCAGTAAAATTAAGTTCATCTACAGCCGTTCGTTGGGGACTTCTAAATGAATCTAAAGCTAGAGATATGTTGTCAGCTATTTTGAATAAGAAAATTTTTGAACACGGTTTAGGCCTCGATCCTCTGAATCACGGTTTAGCAGCCTCTACAGACGGAATAACCGATACTGGTGAATTAGTTGAAATAAAATGTCCTTATAGCGCTAGAAACGATTATTTTACAGAAGCATATAATAATGGTGTCAAAGCTATTGAAAAACTATTTACGGATCAAACGTGTACTGAAATATTAGAAAGTCATGAATATTACTACCAAGTACAGGGACAATTAAATACAAATAATGTATCATTGTGCTACTCAATGGTGTGGAGTACAGTAGATTATAGAATTATCGAAATACAAAAAGATGAAGTATTTTGGGAAGAAAAAATGAAAAATAAATTAGTACAATTTTATGAAACCTGTTTAGTCCCGGAAATTATTGACAGTCGATTAGCTAGAAAAATGAAGGCAAAAGATCCACTACATATCATACAAGCAAAAGAAAATTTAATTAACGCGAAGTTGCAAAAAGTTGCAAAAACTACAATTGTAAATGCTAAAAAGGGAAAAACACAACTTCTTGCAGAAGATCTTCCATTGAAGAAAAAAATGACAGTTTGTTTTGAAGATTGTGATTCTAATGTTGATTTCAAATTAATATCTAACAGTTGCATAGAAGCTTTAAATGCACACAAATTTTCAAATAACCGCACACGAAAGAAACCAAATTTGTTAATGACCTACGTTTCTGACATTAGCACTAGTTCGGGAGAAGCAAGTTGTAATATTCCCAAAAATGTATTAAATTCAACTTTAGGAAACGCTGAAATGGAGAAGAAAAACATTCAACATTTATCCACCCCAAAACTTTCTGAAGTAGAAAATAATACAATATCAATTGAAAAGTGTATAATTCCTTCAGCGAACATCGCTGAAACAAATAGTCATGAAAACATTCGTTTGGATATAAATGTTTGTGGCGAAGATATCGTTAGAAGTATTCGTCAGCATTCAAAACCTAAACGATTTGAAGATTATGTTTCCGATTTTAGTACGTCATTTGAGCAAAATACATCTGATCTAAGTTCACGGTATAGTACAGAAAACTGTAATACAGATGTCGATTTACCAAATAACAAAAAACAGGAACAACAGTTGGAGTCAAACTGTAAACCTGTAGCTCCATCAATATTATATGCAACTGATAATAATAACGAATTAGAAATTTTAGAAAGTCGTTTAAGAAAGAAGCCATCTTGGCTACAAGACTATGTATCAGATGTAAGTACTACTTCAGAAGAAAGTAAAAATGTAAAATTAGTAATTGCGAACAAGAATATAATTCCTTTAGCGAACATGGATGAAACAAATAATGTTGAAAATATTTCTTTGAAATTAAATGTTTGTGACAATGATTTACTTAGAAGTGTTCGTCAGCATAATAAACCTAAACGATTTGAAGATTTTGTTTCCGATTTTAGTACGTCGTTTGAGCAAAATACATCTGATCTAAGTTCACGGTATAGTACAGAAAACTGTAATACAGATGTCGATTTTCGGAATAAGAAAAATCAGGAGCAACAATCAATATTAGATGCGGCTGAAAATACTAACAAATTAGAAATTTTAGAAAGTCGTTTAAGAAAGAAGCCAAGTTGGCTACAAGACTATGTATCAGATTTGAGTACTACTTCTGAAGAGGGCAAACTTGAAAACAATGCAGAAAATTACAATTACTTAAAAATAAATTTAAATAAAGAGTCTATCTCTAACGAAGCAGTAATTCAAAAAGTTGAACAAATTAGAAAGAACGATACAGAAGAAACTGAAAATAATCGATCCCGAAAGAAGCCTAAACGATTCACAAAAAACGAAAACGAAGCCTAAACGATTTACAATATATAATTATTTAGAAATGGAAACGTGCTTGCGTGGATTTACGCGCAAGAATCACGTTTGTACACAAAATATGTAATACATATAAAATATTTAATGAAATTAAACTTGCACCAGAAAATGAAACTTATTATTTCAAAAAATGATTTGTCAAATAAAAGTGCTTGCGTGCATGATAATTTCGCGCAAGAATCACATTTTACATGTAAACTTCAAAATTGAAAGGCATAGTTTATCAGAAATGCAAACGTGCTTGCGTGGATTTTCGCGCAAGAATCACGTTTGTACACAAAATACGTACTACATTATAAAATTAAATATATAAAATATATCATGAAATTAACTTTGCACCAGAAAATGATACTTATTATTTTTAAAAAATTTATTAAGTAAGTGTGCTTGCGTGATAATTTCGCGCAAGAATCACATTTAACATATAAACTGTAAAATTGAAACGTATAATTATTTAGAAATCGAATCATACTTGAGTGGATATTCGTGCAAGAATCATGTTTTACAGCTGAAACGGAAAATTGAAAGGTATAGTTGTTTAGAAAATAATGCAAAAGTGCTTGCGTGAATTTTCGCGCAAGAATCACGTTTATACACAAAATACGTACTACATTATAAAATTAAATATATAAAATATATGATGAAATTAACTTTGCACCAGAAAATGATATAAAATATCTGATGAAATTAAATTTGCACCAGAAAATGATACTTATTATTTTGCAAAAAATAATTTATAAAGTAAGTGTGCTTGCGTGATAATTTCGCGCAAGAATCACATCTTACATGTAAACTGTAAAATTTAAATGTATAATTATTTAGTAACATACTTGAGTCAATATTCGTGCAAAATTATGTAATGTATATATAAAAGATCTGACAAAATTAAATTGCATTGCAAAATGACACATGTTATTTTAAAAAATGATTTGTCAAGTAAATGTGCTTGCTTGATAATTTTGCGCAAGAATCACATTTTACATATCTAAAACGAAAAATTGAAAGGTATAGTTGTTCAGAAATCCAACGTGCTTGCGTGCATCTTCTCGCAAGAATCACGTTTATACACAAATTATGTATTACACTAGAACCCCGATCGGTGCGCCCCCGATCGCTGCGTTCTTGTTTACAAAGTTCGTTGGTGAGGCAGGCAGAGGGGCAAAGGGGATCTGTCGTGCAGCGCCACAACCGTACTTACAAACTTTTAATAAAGGTATTACGGGCCCTTTGTATTTTCTGTACAAAATGAGTGAGAAAAGAAAAAAAAACAACTACTTAACGTATGAAGAAAAGTGTGAAGTGTTTGAAAAGGTAAAAAATGGCGAAAGTAAAGAAAATATAATGAGAAATTACAATATCACTAGATCAACATGCAATCGTCTGCTTTCAAAGATTTGTTCAAATTCAACATTTCCAAATGTTGCCGAAATTAATACAAACCAATTAAAGAGCAAAACTACAAAAGTAAGTAGTAATGAAGAATTAGATAAAGCAGTATTTATATGGTTTCAACAAATCCGTGATAGAGGGGATTCAATTTCAGGACCCATTCTAAAAGAAAAAGCTATTCTTTTGAGCAAACAACTTGATCCCAATTCTACCTTCAAAGTAAGTACTCTCACATTTTAATCCAAAAAATCATTACATAGTTTTCATCTTGAAATTATGGTTGAATTTTAGTTTCACTATTTTGTCATGCTGTCACGTAATTGAGGTTATGTTAGCAATATATTTCTTGTTTGTTAGTACTACATATTTTTATATCTCCGAATGTTTTGAGAAAAGAATAAAATACAAATTAATTATAAAATACACTTAAAGAAAAAATAATTAAATAATAAATAAAGCAAATATGAACAATAAATTAAATAATTTAAGAAAATAATATTTTCCAGGCAAGTGAGGGTTGGATGCACCGTTTTAAAAAGCGACACGGAATAAAATATTGCGAAATGAAGGGCGAAAAACTATCAAATAACCCTGAAAATGCGAATGAATTCGCATTATATCTTCAAGAAAGAATTGATAGAGAAAAATTGTCTTTAGATAATATATATAATGCAGATGAAACAGGAATGTTTTGGCGATCTTTGCCGTCTAAAACTTTGGCCTTTAATACCGAAACTGAAGTTTCAGGACGAAAGGAACACAAAGAACGTGTCACTGCTCTCTTTTGTTCCAACGCTAGCGGTAATCACCAAATTCCCTTACTAGTTATCGGAAAATCTTGCACACCAAGATGTTTAAAGAGTTTGATTAATCCAGAAATGAAAAATAGTCGACTAAAAAATCTTGATAGTCTCGGGGTGATATACACTCATCAAAACAATTCCTGGATGAACAAGGAAATATTTATGTTGTGGTAAGAATGTAATTACTTGGCTAATTTCTAAATTTATTTGAAAAATTTCTAAATTACATTTATATTTTTTTAGGTACAAAGAAATATTTATACCCAATGTTTTAAATCACCAAAAAGAGACAGGTGTGACGGGAATCGTTACATTGTTATTAGACAATGCTCCAGCGCATCCAAGTTTGAGTGAATTAAATGCCGTAAATGAGAACTTTAAGGTTCAATTTTTACCACCTAACGTCACTGCGATAATCCAACCCATGGATCAGGGTGTAATATCACTGACAAAAAAAAATTATAAAAAAAATTTATTAAAACGGGCGTTATTTCTTTCATCAAGTACTGATAGGTATTTAAAAAATCTTAACCTCAACGAGTGTTTTACTCTCCTTAGTAAATCATGGGAAAGCTTAAATAAAAATACTCTTCACAAAGTATGGAGAGCAATTTTAGGTGATGAGCTTATAAATGATCAACCCGATTCTGACATTGAAGCCTTCAATAATAATGAAGAGGTAGAGACTTCAACAAATTCTACTGAAGAGTCGTCGAATTTCCTCGAACAATTTGGTGATACAATTGTAAATTTTTTCCAAAATGAGTCAAATTTCTCAGTAATAGAGTCCAGAAAACATCTTTTGACTTGGTTAAATAATGAAGAAAAAAATGATTCTGGATGGGAACTGATGTCGGACGAAAATATTATAAGTTTTGTCACCGCTGGAAAAGTAGTCCCAACATCTGTTAACGAAATAGAAGAGGCGAATGAAAGCACTGTCAATTTGGAGAAAGAAAATATTTTACCATCACAAGTTCTTGAAAGTCTTAGGATTGTGGAAACGTATATGAACATGGAAAATTTCTCACAAGAACACCACTCTTCCATCTCACAAATAAAAAATATTGTAATTGAAAAAATGAGTGAATCTACGTCAAAAACGTATTTAATATTGTAAAAAGTTATAGTTTTTTAATTTCGGCTTTATTTCCAAAGAAATTTTCCAAAGAAAATTCCATTATTATTTATATTTTAATTATGTAAATTTAATTTTAATATAATATTTATGTGTAGAGTAAAATTTTTAAAAATTGATGTGTTTAAAAAGAGATAGGGTAACATAAAACACTTGGTACGACCCTGTGTGTTTACATTTTCTATTCCCCCGATCGCTGGGTTAGGTCCCCCCAGCCGACGCAGCGATCGGGGTTCTAGTGTATATTATAAAATTAGGTATTTAAAATATCTGACGGAATTAAATTTGATCCAAAAAATGATACTAAATAGAGCTGTGCAAAATTCGAACCGAACCGAACCGAATGTCGAATATTCGACATTCGAACTAGGCTAACTCGAATGTCGGTTTTTCGACATTCGAGTAGACGAAAAAATTCGAACAGTTCGGTTCGAATTATTTTGCACAGCTCTAATACTAAATTTTTTCCAGAGATAATTTTTGTTTCAATATAATTTTGGAAAAACTAATAATTTAAAATTATATAAGAATAATGCAATATTAAAAGTGTTTATAACTACAAAATTATTAATAGTAAAAATTCCATAATGTTTTGTCAATATACTTAATAGGAATACTAAGTGTAGTTAAGCAAATAAGCATCAAAACATATTTGTTATAAAAATTTTTATTTTATTAAATTCTATTTTATTATATTAAACAAGAAATATACTTCTATTTAAACATTATTTTTTAAATAAAGAAAAGATGTTTTGAATATTTTTTAAAAGTGACATTTCAGTCATCTGTAGTACACATCATTATGGTAGTGTACTACTTGAGCTGCAGGCTGCAACGGATGGTTAGTATAGAAAGAGTTCCAATTATTCCCATAGCCTTGGTTCCAGCCCCCTTGCCAATTTGGGTTCCAGCCACCATAACCTCTGGCAAAGCCACCTCTTGAACCACCTCTTGGACCACCTCTGGGAAAGCTTCTCGGACCAACTCTTGAATTAGATCTAAAGTTACCTCTCGAAGCACCATTTTGCCATCTTCCCCTGAACCCTCTGCCACCGCGTCCTCGACCAGGTATTTGATTAGTTATGGGTCTGAAACAAATAAAAGAAGTATCCCATAAGATATTAATAAAAATTGTGCAAATTTTACTTATATCTTAAAATTTCTGATACAGTGATCTTGATTATAATTATAATGTATAATTTTTTAATTTCATTTTAAAATTTTAGTTCTTAAGAGTACTTTTTGTACAAAAGGGAAAGTCCCATATACTTTAAAATAAATTAATAAATAAAAATTTTACCAACAAAAAGAGTTATTATTTCGTTTTTCTGTCCTCCACAACATCCATATATTCAGTAATGTTATTAATATCAAGGTGAAGTAAAGGTATAAAAACTTTTCAATCAATCTGAATTTCATTTATTAAAAGTGATAATTCCAAAAATGTTGATCATTATATTTAAAGAAATTTTAATGGTATATAAATATATTAGCAATGGTTAATATTTATCAAATAGTAATAAGGATGCTAAAATTTTACAAAGAAATCAATGTATTTTTGAAACATGTACAATGTATTTATGTTTGGCGTATTAAAAGAAAATAAGTAAGATACTTTAGAAAACATCTTATTTTAAGATGAAAGATACCATTTTTCAATCTTACATCTTATTTTAAGATATCAAATAAGACACTTATTTTTGCAGTATTCTTACTAATAATATTGAAAAGATATAGTTCAAAAAATCTTAAATAATTAAAATCATAAAATTTTAAATCAGTAAAAGTTTAAAAATTTCAATAGAATAGTATATTAAGCAACAAGGGCATAAAGGCAGCCATTTGTTTACGGTGATTTTTGTGACACGAGTGGAGGTCGAGGGCGCCGTAGGCGCCCCGAGACCGAAACAAGTGTCACAAAAATCAGCGTAAACAAATTGGCTGCCTTTATTCCCGTGTTACTTACGATATTTTTTATTCCTAATGCACAAAAGTGGCGATTTCAGATAGCAGACGACAGGGAGTAAAAGTCATTCACTTGTTCGACTTGTATGAAAATGGCGGCCTTTTTTTTACCTTGGGCAAAGAAAAGCATGGGACCAGCTGTTTTTTTGCCCTTGGGGAAAAGAAAGTCGCCATTTTCATACGGTCGAACAAATGAATGACTTTACTCCCTGTCGTCAGCTATCTAAAAGCGCCATTTTTGTGCATGTGGGATAAAAAATAATTTTAATACAAGAGGAGCTACATAAATGTAATTTAAAGAAAAGATTAAAGCAATGGGAAATTTAAATATTGACAACACAAAATTTTAACTTTTAAACTTTATAACTTATAAAAAATATATATAATTTGCCGAAAATAAATAGAAAAAGAATGTTTCTAAGATACAAATAATTGATGATTTATATAATTTGTAAATAAACAACTTACTCTTTTTGTACACCGTTGTTATTTAGTGTTTCGTCCGAAATCTTTTCCACTTTATCTGCAGCAGCCTGATCTGCAGAAGTGTTAGTTTTTTCAGGATCTTTAGTCTTGGACTGTGTCTTAGGACTAGAAAGTAAACAAGAAAATATATTAGGGGAAAATTTGATTTGAGCACTTTTAAAAATTTTTTTTAAATATTTTGCCTTGTAAATTGAATAATAAGATATTAATTTTATAAATCTCAGTTAAAAAATTTTTTCTGAAGGCCTACATTTCTAGAATAAACGTCACATATGTGACCGGGACTGAGAAAAGGGACCTACTTACCAAAAAGTCGATTTTTTTATGATGGTTTCTTATAGTTTAAGGTCCTAGAAATACATTGTATTCAGTCCAGATTGATAAAAAAAAATTTTTTGCAATTGTTTAAACAAATTTAAAAAAAAAATTTTTTTTTAAATTTTTATTATGAAAATATAAGTAATTTTAAGACAAAAATTACTCTTGGTTGTCTAAGTGTCAAGAATATATCCCCTAAATCTTAAATTGAATGCCTAAACCATTTACAAAAAATTCGACTTAATTCCTCGAAGATGATCCCCAAGTATACCCCGTCATCGGCAACCTGGTTATGCAAGTCAAAAAATAACTATGTATTATTGTAGAGTTCAGAATTATTCATTATTGTATCAGTTCTGAACATGCATAAAAAATTTCAGATCTCTAGGACATCCGGAAGTCTTTTAAATTAATTTTGAAAATTCCATAATTTGACTTTTGCAAAATAAATTGTTTATAAAAATTACAGGGTTGTTTAAACAATTATTTAACCATGAAAATCGGATTCAGCATAAAAAAATACATAAAGAACACTCATCACTTTAATTTAAAATGTAAAATGTTTCAAGAAATCTAATTTATTTGGATAGAAAACTTTAAACGCGTTTTTCTCGAAAAGTTGATTTCGGTAAGTAGGTCCCTTTCCTCAGACCCTGTCACATATATGGTCTTATCTAAAAATGTAAGGGTAAAAAATATTTATATATTTAGAACTTCAAGAATATAAAAAATGAAATTTTTTAGAAATCCAACTTTTATCGATTTTTAAGCGACAGGAACGATTATAAAAATTTAATAAGTTTTAAAATGAAGAACAATGTAAGAAATACAATTCCAATAAAAAATGCAGATATTAGTTGAATAAATATTTGTTCTAATGTCTGCTTTAAAAATGCAATGTTTAAAACCATTTGAAATCTTGGGGAGGAAAAGTAGCTATAATTTTTTTTATCAAAATAATGACAACACAAAATTATAATTTAATTTCTTTACTTCAAAGTTTTCAAACATAATCAAAAATGAAAATTCACCAAAAATGATTAAAAAATGAAAACTTCTGTAAAGTTAATAATTAATTATTAAGATAATTTATAAACAAAACCAATCAACTTACTCTTTCAAAATGTTATCCTCTTCACTGCTGTCTTCGAGGTTCTTATTTAGTCTTACGTGAGAATTGCTTTTGCCTGCTCCTGCAGAAGGGCTGTTGCTATCAACATCTTTAGCCACGAACTGCGTCTTAGAGCTTAAATTTAATATAGCACAATGACTAAATGAATAAATAAAACGAATTTTCATACTGGCAGAAAAGAAACTTGAAAATAACAAAACAGTTTAGATATGGGTGATTTTCTTGAAAGGGGCCACTTCACGTGTCTCCAACTTGAGATTCATTATTAACATTCATTTTTTATTCATATTCTCTTGAGTTTACATTTGTTGGAAAATCTATTTCTAATCTATGAAGATTTGTCAGGGTATCTACTATTTTTGTTCAACAAAATTCCCGGATCTTTCCTACTTTTTCCCGGTTTCTTTTCTCATGAAATTTACATTTATTTCATTTCGAACAGAAATAAATCTACAAATGGCTTCCAAAATTTTTATTAGAGTTTTTATAAATAATTAAATTCTTTTGACGAGTTTCTTTAAATTTTTTTAAAATAATGTTTTTTAATATTTTTAATTAAAAACTTGAAAAATAATTAAATTAAATTGTGAAGAACAGTTTAATTTACATTTTGAGAAGAATTTAAAAAACTTTTTAAACATAATTGAATTTCTGTAAAGAATTTTATTACTTTTAAAAGTAATTAAATTGTATTTTAAATTTTTATGGAAATTTATGAAAATAATTGAATTCTTGTAAAGAATTTTTTCTTAAAATAATATTCAAAAGAATTTAGTAAATCTGAAGAATTTTTTTTTTGTGGAAATAATTGAATTCTTAAGAAGAGTTTTTTTTACAGTTTCTAGAAATAATTGAATTCTTTCGACGAATTTTAATATAATTTTTAAAAATAATTACATTTGTCGAGGAAGTTTATTAAAATATTAAAATTATAATTATGTGACTAACTTCCTTTGATTATTTTCAAAAAATTTCAATTATTTGATAATAAAATTCACTTATCTTGAAAGAATAGAACTGGAAAACTCCAAAAATCTTATTTTTCGGAAATTTCAAAAAAACTTTGCGAAAATTCAGTTTTATTAAAAAGTTTTAAGTGTGTATCTTTTTTTAAATTAACTAATAAAAATTTCAATTATTAATCCTCGCACTAAGCAAAATGAATACAAAAAAATCTGAAAATTCGATTTGTTAAGAAGGTTTTAATGAAATTCTGTAACGAATTTAATTATTTTCAGTTGATTTCCCAAAATTTCTATTAATTTGATAATTTTTTTAAAATTTATTTACATACTATATTTGAATAAGTGACTGATTTTTTACAATCAAATTAATTATTTTTAACTAATCGAAATTTAGAGAATAGTATAAATATCTATAAAAATTGAAATATAAAGCAATTTTTTGAAAACAAATTAAAATAATAAAACCTTTAAAATTTGGTGAAAAAATTTCCGGTTTGGCATAAAATTCCTGGCTTATTCCCGGTCAAATTAAATTCCCGACTATTTTACATAATATTGTTTTATATTAAAAGTTTTTCTTAGTAAACAAAAATTTAATTTTGTTTTCTAGTTTTGCTTAAAAGTCAATAGTATTTTATAATTATATTTTAACGTAATTAAAAATATTTCAATATAATCTTGTTATATGTCAAATTAAAGCTGGAAATCTAATATTTATTTTTCACCTACATTTGTTTAAAATATAATAAAAAATACAACAAAATAATTCATTAAAGTCGTATTATCAGTGCGAGTAAAAATTTTAATTCATCTGTGAACCTTCGTTCTCCAGTTAATTACATCATATTATTAAACGGTTTGAATCTTCTATGTAATCGGTATATAAATATTTAAAGGTGTAACAAAAAAATATTATTTAAATATATTGAAATATTTTTAAGTCGAAAAAACGGTTGGTAGACGCTTTTCCCAATCCGTTTTTCCCAATGGACGTTTTTCCCAATGATCACTTTTTCCAAAAACGAGTCGTTTTTCCCAATGGTCTTTTTTCCCAATGAATATACACTACCGTCCGTGAGTATCAGGACGCCCCTTTTGTCATGAGTGGAAAAATGCTTAAAACGTAGAAAATAAGAATGACAAAAATTTTTCGTATTTTTTTCCTGAAAGCTAATGAAATTATGAAAAGACTGACACCTGATTGAAGAATTTTCGTTGAATATTCTGTCAGATACAGAAAAAATACTGGATTTAAGCCTTTTTCATACTTAGTAGTCGTTTTTGTTTTGTTTTGAAATATCTAACCCACAAATTTAATTATTTATTTAAAATATACAAGTTAAAAGTTTATTAAATTAAAAAAAATGTAATTTAAAAAGAAAACTTTTCTATCCATTTTTTTTTACAAAAATATCAATTGTGCAGGTTAAATATACCTATTATATTTCATGTCTACAATACAGGAGAATAAAATGTCCCTGGAGGTCGTATTTTTCGACATATATGAATCACTCATATATAAACGATTAAAAACATTGAAAACTAATATGTATTTAATATAAACATAACAAAAAAGAATTTAAAGAGAGAAACAGTCAGATAATATGCATCTTATTTGTTGGACTCCGGAATGCGATACAATGAATTGGTTTGGTACAACTTTAATTTCTTGGATGGCACTAGGTACTATTCTCTTAGCTGCTGAATCACTCTGTTGGATGGGATATCTTTTCGCTTAGATAAAGCATCAAATAATTGGATACCATAACGAATGAAGGTTGGATCGCGCTCCAAAGTTCATCAAATTAAATAAAGAATGTTCAACCATTTTTCTCATTGAATACAAAGTAAACACAACTAACCGTTTTCTCGGAGTTGTAGATTGCTGATCATTTGAACTGGGGAGAACATCATCCTCATCAAATCGACGCTTTGGTCTTTTCAGATCTCTTTTAGAAGCACTTGTTTTTTAAAAAATAATACTTTAATTAGAAATGAAAATACAAAAGAGCATAATAAAACGATATGAACAGATAAAGAAAAATTAATTTTCAATTATGAAGAAACAACTCACACTTTATGCTTATTGCTTCTAAGCTTATTTTTTCTCCCCTCCTTCTTGGTTGACTTACTTTTTCCTGCTAAAGGACAGTTTATTTAAAGTTTTTATAACTTTTTCAAAAATTTAAATTTAATTTTAAAATTACGAATGATATACACTTACTTTTGACCATTTCTTTTTTTTCACTCTTAAGGTTCTGTATGAATTCGAAAATGTTATATATCAGTGCTGGGGTATATGTAACAGATGGTAGCAAACATGTGGACTAGTTAATACACAATAAATTCAACAAACTCCTTTTTGAACGTCAAGGAGATTCCACAACTTGCATGTGCACTGTCATTTGGCCTACGCAACAATTTACACACTATAGGCCTAAAGGTACATTCCCATGAGAGCCTTATGCGTTGCGTTTCACAACTAGCCCATAAGTGTGAGAGAGATAGTGATATATGTTCGCATTTCCACACATGGCCTAGTTACAGAACGCAACCTAAAGGCCTTTCTCCAATAGGTTCCCAAAACTCTGTGTTTGGCTGCGAATGACTGCGTTGCGTTGATTTTAGCATATGTTGTTATAACAACCGACGCAACGCAGTGTTTTGAGAACCTATTGGAGAAAGGCCTTAGGCTGAAGTCCCATGGCAGCGTTTTGCGTTGCGTTTTGTAACTAGGCAATGAGTGTGAGAGAGATACAGATATATGTTTACTCTATTTGCACTCATGGCCTAGTTACAAAACGCAACGCAAAACGCTACCATGGGACTCCAGCCTTAAAAGTGCAGTCCCACAGCATCGTTTTGCGTTGCGTTTTAGAACTAGGCTACAAGTGTAAATATAGCAAACACATATCTGCATCTCTCACACACTAATAGTCTAGTTACAAAACGCAACGCAATACGGTGCCAAGGAAGTGTACATAAAGGGAGCGTTTACACCTTCGGTAAAAATTTTCAGAACGGAAAATTTTTCATTGGAGTAAGAGAGACAGACTGTGTATCTGACTCTCTTACTCCAATGCAAATTTTCCTTTCTGGACAATTTTTACAGAAGGTGTAAACGCTCCATAAGGGTGGAATCCCATAAAGCTGTATCTACAATTAGAAAGTAAGACGCGAAACACGAGAAATTGCCATGTATTTTTCTCGTGTTTCGCGTTTGCGTCGCGCGTTTCTCAACTTTTTTCCGTATTGTAGAGGCAGCATAATGCTGCATCTACATGGCAAAGGTAAGGCAAGACGCAACGCGAAACACACAAAAATACCATGCATTTCTAGCGCGTTTTGCGTTGCGTCTCGCGTTATCTTTACCATGTAGATACAACATAAGGGTCATTCCAGAATAAGCTAAAACGCAACGTGTCCCAATGCTAACCAAATGGGGATGCGTCGCGTCTGCGTCCAGTCCATTCTGGAACCAACCTAACAGTGCTTTGTGTTGCGATTTAGAACTAAACCATGAGTGCAAACAGGACAAATGTGCATATGCATCTCTTTCTCACTCACGGTGTAGTCACAAAACGCAACACAGAACGCTGCCATGGGACTGCACCCTCAGCCTGAGGTTGGAGTCCCATGACAGCGTTTTGCGTTGCGTCGTAATAGGAGAGAAAAAGACGCAAATATACGTTTGCTGCATTCTCTCTCATTACAACGCAACGCAAAACGCTGCCATGGGACTGCGGCCTGAGTGTATATCATTCGTATTTTTAGAATTAATTAAAATTTTTTTAAAAATTTAGTAAAACTTTAAATAAACTGTTTTTAAATAGGAAAAAGTAAGTAAATCAAGAAAGTACGGTAATATTCAGGCAACCACACTGGCTGACCAGTTGTGACCGCACTCTAAAGCTGCATTTTCTTGGAGCAATAATTTCCACAACAAAGAAAGAAAGAGAAGGATTCAAATTTCTATGATCAGGATAAAATCACATGGCTACGTAAAGCATAAGGGTAAAATCAGATCGTGGCGTAAAGCGTCACGAAAATTCATGAGAGTGGAAAGGATATTAATATAATAATTAATAATAATATATAATATATATGATGTCCTTCAATAAAACAGAGAATCAAGCACAAAGCCAAGGAAATTAAACTGCTATTTAGGAAAGGCTTTTACAGAGTATTATATATTTTTAAAACAAGTTTTTACCTGTTAGTTTTTTTTTTAATACTTTTCAACAAAGCCATATATTTTTCCTTCTTCTGCTTCTTTTTGACTCCACCACTTTTGGAAGAACCTTTCACTGTGCATAAAAATATATTAATTCAAACTACAAAAATTTGTGTCAATTTCAAATAAAAGATTTTGTTAATTTGTGAACTAAAAAAATAGAGCTAGAGGGTGTCTAATAACTTCAAGAATACATTTTTCAGAATTTATCCTAAATTTTCATTCAATTTTTTTTAATTCTCTATCGGAAGAACGGACTCGTGCCAATTGTAACTGATCCTATTTATTTGATACACCAAAAACTACCCCCAATAAATTTATTCTGTTACATTTTTAAATACCTATGAAACATTTTCAAATACAAAGAATCATAGGTCTGTTGTTAAAGGTGCATGCTTTTGTAACCCAAAGTTTATTGCTCAAAAGTTTTGTAATGTTTGACAATCAAAATGCATGGGTTGGAAATATGAAATCTACATTTGTTCACATTTATAAATATCTAAGATTTATTATAAAAACTTTCTTTTAAATTCAACTTTTTGACAGTCAGGTGATAAAGGAGCCTTTTATCAGGTAAGAATAGAGTACTCATTGAGCCTGGAATTGGTTCAAATCGGACATCAAACGGACTCTAGGAATCACGCAGTCCTCGTTCTTCCGGTAGGGTTTACGCACTAAATTGATCAAAATTTGAAATACATAACACTTTAACAAAGGAAATATGTTAATTTTTTAATTTTATGTATAAAAAGATAACAATTTCAAAAATTATTTTCCTAATTTCCTTATAATTACATACGAATAACGTTTTAAACTTTCTTTGAGCTAATTTAAATCATGGTACTTTGATTATATTTAACTGATGCTAAGAATATATGTGACCGGATCTGACAAAAGGGTGTTATCGTCCGAAACCTCGATTTATTATGACGTAGTAATGAGGTTCTAAAATTACAATGCAATGCAAAATGAAAAATTAAACACTTATGAATTTTTAAAAATTTTAAAGTATAATAGTTTCCGTTCTTAAATTTTTTATATAATTACTTTTTCTTCATTAATTTTGAAAGATTAAACGTTTATTTTAATGAATACTAAAAGCAAGCGAAATATTTGACATTATAATTCTAGGTGATGATCCCCTGGTATACCTGTCATCGATGACCTGGTTCGGTAGGTTAAGAAATAAATTGGATTATTATTATTTTGTCAGTTCTATAAGTGCACAAATTATTTTAGACCTGTTTTTAAATTAGATTTAAAACTTCCATATTTTGACGTTTATAAAATAAATTGTTTAAAACAGTAATAACAATGTTATAACAATTATTTAAATATTATGTGTGAAAACCGTTTTAAGCATGACAAAACTTTAAACGCATTTTCAACAAAAATTTAATTTAGTATAGATAACACACTTTTCTTAGACCTAATCACATATGTAGAAGTATATCGCAATTTCATTAATAATTATTATTATTTGAATTCAAATTTTTTTACCTTTTACCTCCTCCATTTTCGCCAAAAAACTAAGTACTGCAAAAAGTTAATTTATTTTTAAAAATGTTATTAGTTTTGTCTAACCCACAATTATTTTAATATTAAATGAATAATTAATACTTAATAAGTTTAAACTGGGATACCTTTATTATATACCTTAGAATGAAGGTTGTAATTTGATTGTTAAATTCTTAGTCCTACATTTGTACATGTATATTAAAATATAACCTCTAAAATCTTTTTTAAAATTAAGCCCCAAGCACAATAGGTTCGCGAATGTAGAGTACGAGAGAAAAAAATACTAGTTTACTTCTATCCTTTTCTATCGCACCGATAATCAAGTTCGCGAACCTTGTGTGTTTGGTTTTAAGCTGAGTCTACATTGGCTGCGCAAACGTGGAATTATGTCCTTTTTTACTTGAATTAGGGTGCAGTCCCATGTCACCGTTTTGAATTGCGTTTTGTAAAGTCCAACGCACAATAGGTTCGCGAAAGAGACACATGAGATAGACAAGGACACAAATATATCTCTGTCCTTTTCTAACTCAGGCTGAAGTCCCATGGCAGCGTTTTGCGTTGCGTTTTGTAACTAGGCAATGAGTGTGAGAGAGATAAAGATATATGTTTACTCTATTTGCACTCATGGCCTAGTTACAAAACGCAACGCAAAACGCTACCATGGGACTCCAGCCTCATGCTTTGCGTTCGCGAACGACTTTCGCAAACCTATTGTGCTTAGGCCTTTACTAGGCCATGTGAGAAAACAGAATGCAAAGCAGAATTTCGTGAGTGCAAGAGAGATAGTCAGATATCACTATCCTTTCCATTCTCACGAAATTCTGCTTTGTATTGTGTTTTTGCTCAACGTGGGACCGTACCCTTAAGGCCAACGCACAACTGCTTCGCGAACGACGTTCGCGAATGTAAAGCATGAGTTAGAAAAGGACACAAATATATCTCTGTCCTTTTCTAACCCATGCATTGCGTTCGCGAACGACATTCGCGAAGTAGTTGTGCTTAGGCCTTTACTCACAAGTTTTTTTTGAGAAATGTGTGAGTGCCTTAACTCATTTAATAATTAACTACCTAATATATAATAGGAAACGAGAACTTACCTTATCCAAAAAATTTAGTAATAAATTAAACTTATGAAATGCGTTATTGAAGCCTAAAGTCTAACGCACAATAGGTTCGCGAATGTCGTTCGCGAACGAGACGCATGCGATAGACAAGGACACAAACATATCTCTGTCCTTTTCTAACTCATGCTTTGCGTTCGCGAACGACTTTCGCGAACCTATTGTGCTTAGGCCTTTAGTACAATTGTTTCTAACAAGTGCCTTGCGTTTACAAATCACTTGTGCTTAGGCTTCTATTTGTTATCAAACGACAGAGGAATGCACGTTCGCGATTTCAGATTTCTGCTAGGCCCAATTCACATAAAAATTTGTGACCCGTATATATAAACTTTGCCTAAGGGTGGAGTCCCATGGCAGCGTATTCATTCGAACTGAACTGATTCGAATGTTCACAATTCGACATTTTAGCGTTCCAAAACAGAACAAACCTCGGTTCGGTTTGAATTTTGCGAAGAAATTCGAACAGTTCGAATCGAATAATTTTGGACAGCTCTAATTAGAATATTTTATAGTCTTGAATTTAGTGACCGTTTATTTAAATATTTTTGAGTAAAAGGCTATTATCGGTCGTGTTTTTTTTAAAGTAAGAATTCACTTATTCAAAAAAATTTTTTTTAAACCGATAATGGTACGGTCACAGCTCGGCTGCCTGCCTGCCTGCAGGTCGTCATGGCAATACATAAGAGTAAGAGAGTCAGACAATTTAAATTATTCGTCTCCTCTCTCTTACTCTCGTGGCGGCTGCCTGCGCAGGCAGGCAGCCGAGGTGTGACCGTGCCATAAGCCTTTTACTCAAAAATATTAAAATATTTTGTTTGTATTATTTATAATCTTCTATTTTTGTATATATTCGAATTATTATTCACTGTAAATTAAACCTCCCAATTCTCTATGTAAATTCATTTGTAAAAATAATTATATTTCATTCAAGTAATGAAAAAGTTGCTAATATTTTCTAAAAGTATACCATTTATCTTTAGAATACTGTTTGATTTTTTTATTTTGGTCAAAATTTTAAGAAATTATAGTATTTTTGTAAAAAATGTCAAATTTGCTATATTCTTTTTTTTATTTTTACACAATTTTCAACATTTTTTTACTTTTTCAAAAAATGAATAATACTAACCGCAAACCATAATTTTGAAATAATAAATAATATGATATATTTTAAAAGAAGCAAGGTTTTTTGTTAATGTCTAAAAATCTTTCTCATTTTTAGTTTTAATGTTTTTCTTATGCTATCAAGTATATTTCAGAATCATATATGGTTTGAGGTTACGTAATTGTTTTTAAATATTTTTTTTACTTGATTGCATAAAAAGTCAATGCAACTTGTTTTTAAGTTAACATGTTAACAAAATACATTTTACATGTATATTCATTCCTATGGTAACTATTTTTTATTGCTATATGGACATAAAAACTATGTAAATTGCACGTTCCCATCCCTGATAAAACAAAGTTTCACATAACAGAGTTTCACATAACAGATGTTATATCAGTTCGAGAGTTCTACTGCTGCTGTCAAAATAGTGTCCAATGTTTTATTCGACATACGTCAATATTATAGTGAGTGTTCCTTCGTTTTGTTTATTTGAAACATTATTATTTATATTTCATAAAAGAATAAAACATTGCTGTTCCTCTTTTCTAATAAGACTAAATTCTATACGTCTGGTAAGCATGGTAAACATAGATTTACACACACACTTGTATACATGTATCTTTGAGGGCGACTATCTGACATTATATATATTTACTTTTT